ACACACACACACACACACACACACACACACACACACACACACACACAAAACAACCCTGTCTCGAAAACCAAACAAACCAAAAATTATGTTAGATGATAGCATAAAATATCTCTCACCTGTAGTAATTATATGATCTAGTGTGTTTTCAGTCACATAAAAGCAGAGCACGTTGAATTACATGCATCATGTGATGGTAATAATAAAGTCTGTATCTCTTGCTTGTGTTATTTTAAAATGTAATTCTTCTACCAAAAAAAATTAAACTGTTATATCAGCCATACCCTTACACATGTGCTTATAATGGCTCTTGGCTGTGTGTTTTTTTGTGTTTAAGCTTGTTCTGTTGATTGTGACACCAGCAGGACTACTACACACAGGCATTATAGCCTAGGTTTATGTCAGAGAGAATACCATCTATACTCTGATAGGACTTGGTGAAGAGATTGTATTGCTGTTAGGCAAGGAATGACTTAGGAGGGGGTTGACTTTAGTGGGGAGGATTGTTGTGGGTTTTTGGTTTTGGTTTTTTGAGACAGGGTTTCTCTGTTGTAGCCCTGGCTGTCCTGGAACTCTCTCTGCAGACCAGACTGGCGTCAAACTCAGCTCCACCTGCCTCTGCCTTCTGAGTGCTAGGATTAAAGGCGTACACCACCATGCCTGGAATGACTATTTTTTTTTTAAAGTAATTTTAATTGACACAGTGATGCATATATATAAACCCAGCACTCAAGAATCTGGGCCAGAAGGATTGGGTTAAAGGCTCTTGTGGGTTACAAAACAAAACTTGTCATATGGAGGGAGGGGCACATGACCTGCAAACAGAACCTCTAACCATGTCTTGGGCATTGCTAGTTTTCAATTTAAGCTTTAGCCATATATGGTGGTGCTCACCTTTAATCCCAGCATTGGGGTTTGGGGATTAGGGGAGCAAAGGCATGTGCATTCTGAGTTCAAGGATAGCCAGAGCTACACAGAGAAACCCTATCTCAAAAAGCCAAAACTAAATAAGTTTTATTGCAACCTCAGGGTTTACTTTTAAACCATTCAGATTCTTAAGACCCCAAAGTCTGAAGTCCTCTGGCCACTTAAAAAGGAAATCCCTACTTTTGGTCTGCCACATCTGACTCTTTCCCCTGCCCCATTACTAGTAAGAATAAAGGCCACAGGCTAGAGAATGTATTGGTGCAGCTATCTTCAGAGGTAGCATTGGGACACTACACCTGCCAAGAGAAGAGAGGAATTGATGAAGACAAAGGTAAAATACTGCAGTAAGATGGCGTGGAGGATTGGCCTCCAGGTCCCTGGAGCTCTTCATTGTAAGGTTTGTACCCTCTGCTCAGCTTATTATCATATGGCCAGACTCAGTGCGTATGCTTGAGACAGATGACAGCTTCCTCAGTGTAGGAGTGTTCTCTCATTCTGAATTATCCCTGAATCTGGCTTCTAGCCGTGGCTTGCCCTGTTTTCCCTTTGGCTGAAATCAGTTTTAGGAAGGGTTTCTGCCATTTGATAGCTTTCAGAAGCCTAGTACGGGTTCTGTTTGTCCGTAGCCACTAGGTTTCTATGAGAAGAATTAATTAGTTCAAGTTTAGTTTGGGGAAGCTATGGTGGAAACAGTCCTAACAAACACTTAGGAGCTGAGATCTTCAATCTTTGTCACATAAACATGAGGACACAGCACCCAAGTGAGAAGCTGGGTGCCAAAGTCAGGCATGGTGGTACACACCTTTAATCCTAGTACTAGGGAGGCAGAAGCAGATGGATCTCTGAATTGAGGGCTACACAGAGAAACCATCTTAAAGAAAGAAAGGGAGGGAGGGGAGGGGAGGGAAGGGAAAAGAAGGAAGAAAGAAAGAAAAGAGCCACAACATAAGCCTTTACACGAGTTTTCTAATATTGGAGGTCTCTTGGCAGGCAGTGCCAGTTCTGGATTATCCATCAGCTCAGTGCATTGAACAGAGACCCTGACATAGCTTCTCCTTGAGAATCTTCAGAGGTAGCCAACTTCATCTGACATGTTAGGTAAGGAAAGCAAGATAGAAAATGAATTGTCTCAAACTTGTTCAGCTCACATCTTATCTTATTAATTCCACCCAAACTCACAATGCACTCTACCAGTATAGATGCTGGGTTACAGAGATGTGCAGAGGAAACAGATCCCCCCTGGAAGAACAGAACAAGCAGAGCCAGTTTCGGGGCTAGTCATGTCTTTATTAGTGTCTGAGCCAACAGAGCCCTCGTCTACAGGGAACTTTAGTGGGCACTCTGGCCACTGGGCCAGGGATTTTAGCTTTTCTATTAGCAACTGGGAATGGAAGGGTAGTGGAAGAGTCTGGAACAGGATCAAATGGAGAGATTGCTTGCCACCTACAGGCAGGCACATGAGCTGTTCCTCAGGATGGTGCCAAGGTGGATCAGGCCCCCGAGCAAAATAATGCCATCTCCTCCAGAGTGAAGGAAGAGAAAAAGCCTCAGATGGTATCAGTCAAAGCTATAGAGCTGAGCTCCTAGGATCAAAAAGGCATTTCCTAAAGGAAGCAACTTCCTAAGGCTGGAGGTCCCAAAGAGGTCACCTGTCCCACAGCCAAGAAACCCTAGGGTTAGTTCAACTCTCACAGGGAAGCTAGTAGTGGGAAGAAGGTGCCAAACTCTGTTTGGGTAAGTCTATGTACTGCCAGTACTAACAAAACAGGCATAATATTCATTATAGTTGAAATCAAGAAGCTCCTTAGCCTGGAGAACTGCAATCCAACCCCTGCCACAACGCCAAGCCAACTGTATTTGATTCTTTGGACAAATGACGATAATCTCTGCTGGTGCTTGCTGCCAACAGCACCCAAACTGCCTGCCTTTCCCCTTTCCCCCCACATGTCCTTGCCAGACTGGTAGCTTTGTTGTTTGTCCTCTTCTGATCTCCATCCCTCAAACACTTGGAGCCAAATGAAGTTATGTTTGCTGTGTCTAAAAGAAATATATTCATATGTGATTTATGGGGGTGTCTGGCAATAGGTGTGAGGATTTTTCGGCCATATCTGTGCCTGAGATGTTAGCTTCCTCTGAGAGGGAAGGAGGGTAGGTGATGGGAGGAATGAGCCAGGCATAGAGGGCTTAATGGAGAGAAAAAGGTCAAAATGGGACAGAGTTTAGATGGTAGATAGCAGAGGGTGGTCCAGGAAGAAAAGGGTCTTGTGTTCTATGTGCATGTCCGGAGGTCAGAGCCCCAGAGCTCAGAACCAACAAGGTGACCACATGAGTGAGCCAAGAGCAGCACCTGTGGCAGCCCCAGCAAGCATGCCCATAGCCAAAGGGGCACCGGAGCTATAGCAGGGATCCTCTCGAACTATCACGTGTGTTACTCCAGGACCTGTAAGAAAGCCGTGAGGGTCAGGGTCAGCCGCAGCGACTCTAGTCCAATTCATTTTGCTCCCTGGTCAGAGGAATGTTTAGTGTCCATGGGGCTGGGACTGTGTTGCAGGAAAACCCAGGATCCCTTGGCACCTGGATCACAGCACCAGGGGATGGACACTATTAACCTTGGGAATAGGAAGGAGGGTGCTATTCCTGCAATAGCCACCTGAGGTCGCCAGCAACACAGAAATGTCATTGCAGCCAGTCTGAGGGGTGGATGGGGGAAGTGGGAAGGTCAGAGTGGAGGGTGGGATTTGGAAAAAACTTGTAACCTCAAAGGGTGAAGCTTAGTCTTCATTGATGGATCGTGGACAAGGCCTGGCGCAGGATTTTGGTGGGCAGAGGGGTAGGTGTGCCAGGGACGCTTACCTGCATAAGGTGGCCCGTAGTAACTGCGGACATATGTGGCCTCATGAGCGTTGGGGGGCACCACCTCATAGTAGTCCTGATATGGGCTGTAGACTCGTACCTGGGAAGTCAGGTCAGGTCAAATGCCCAGGGAGTTCCTGGGCATTTATTTAGTTCCTGTATTTAGTCCTGAGCCCTTCTTGCCTCTGTGGCCTCCCTCCTCACCAGTACCAGGAAGCTAGTGGAAAAGACACTGCCTCCCCATGAAGTCCATACATAACCCTTCTCTCCTAAAAGCTCAGCTTCTACATCCAGCTCCTCGTGGTGTTCTTTCTCCTGCCTTGGTCTCCTACACTGCTCAGTTTCCCAGGGCTCCCAACATCCCTTTACAGGTCTAACAACTGTACAATGTTCTCATTGGAGAAACCCGACTGATCACCACAGGAAGGGAGCTACGGCCAAGCTCTAGGCATGAATTAGAGGAGGACTGGGGAAAAGGAAAGCAAGAGTAGCAATTGAAGTAACTATCATCCAGCACCTACTGCATAGCAGGCCCCTAGGGAGGTGCTCTCCTGTGTTACCACCTCTGATTCTTAAAGGCAGGTATTGCTAGCTCCTCAGAACCGGTGCTGGCACACAGAGAGGGTGGGAGTCCTGCCCTCCCCTGCAGGCCTCTGCCAGCCTCCCAAAGTCACCCACTCTAGGACTCAGAAGCATTTCTTTCTGGGTTCTCTGTGATTACCCCTTCTTATCTTTTAGCCTTTCTGGCCTGTTCCCCAAGTGTGTGCTGTTTACGGACAAGGTGCTCAGTCTGTGTCGCCATCAGGGGATAGTGCAGGACAGGAGCCAGTAAATACATCCATGATTAACAGTAACTGCCAATCCAAACCTAACCACTTTCCTCATGGGACTGCAAACCTGGAGGGGGTCAGGACCCCTTTTCTCCTGAGGCTCCCCCTCTCTTAGCCCCTTTTCTCACTGTGTCTCTCACTAGGCTTCATGCCAGAATGGCCCAACTCTCTTTAGAAGTCCATCTGTGTCCAACTTTACTAACAAACACAAATGGGCTGTGCAGTCTCTCCATCTCACACCCTGTTTTTGTGGAAATGCTCTTGTCCATAAATGACAGCATCATGCAGTGGAACCCAGAAATCAAGGGGTGCCTCACGTAACGGGGCCCTCTCTCTTCCCCCCTGTGTATACGTGGAGGAAGGGTGCATGTAGAGGTCAGAGGTTGGTGCACCGTGTCTTAATTGCTTTCTGTTTATCATTGAGATTGTTTCTTGATGGACTTGGGACTTGCTGATTCACCCTGATTGACTGGCCAGCGAGCCACTAGCTCCCTCCTGTCTTTTATCCCCCAGCGCTGAGATTATGGGAGAGCACTGCTGTTTTAACATGGGTGCCAGGAACTGAACTCAGTTCCTCATGCTTTCACAAAAAATTTACTGACTGAGCCATCTTCCCAGCTCTCTCCACACCATTTTTAAGACAGGGTTTCATGCAGCCTAGCTTGGCCTTGAACTCATTATGTAGATGAAGGTGACCTTGAACTCCTGATCTTCCTTCTTCCACCTCCCAAGTGCTGGGGTCACAGGAATGCATGGCTCTGGAACCTTTGCTCTTTTGGAGGAGTAGGCATTTAATACTTAGCCCAGACTTGCCTTGAACTCATAATCCTCCTGTTTCAGTTCCTGAGAGCTAGGAATATAGGCACATACCACCAAAACCAACATTTTCTTTCTTGTGATGCTGGGGTTTGAACCTAAGGCCTTATACATGCATGTACCACTGACAATATCGCCATCTCCTAGCACTGTCCATCTGCACACTAGCCTTTCACAAGGCCCATGAGGTCTCGGGATTTCATCTTCTAAATATGCTTTTCTGACAAACTATTAGCCAGTGCCGAGAGAGTAAGCCACTGGCTTTAGCAACATGGACACGAGATCTTGAAAGGGAAAAAAAAATTTCTTCAAAGTAATGGTTGGGGAGAAGTCAGACTAGACAAGACAAAAGAATTCTTAAAGGGGAAAGGGGTTGGGGCTGGAGAGATGGCTCAGAGGTTAAGAACACTGGCTGTTCTTCCCAAGGTCCTGAGTTCAGTTCCCAGCAACCACATGGTGGCTCACAACCATCTATACTGAGATCTAGTGCCCTCTTCTGGTGTGCAGACAGAATAATGTATAAATAATAAATAAATAAATAAATAAATAAATAAATAAATGAATCTTTTTTTAAAAAGGGGGGGGTGGGGAAAGGGGTTGGGGAAATCAACATTACTCCATCAGCCTGCCCTGAAGCTGCAGTGAACTAGTAGCTTTGTGAGGTTGGGGAGAGGGTGGAAAATACAACCTCCAGTCTCCGGGGCATCTGTTCCTACCCTCCAGCTCTGGGAGGCCCAGAAGAAAACTCAGAGCACCTGGCAACAGGTAGGTCACCGTAGAGACCTCCTGAACCGAAGCCTCAGGGCTTCTCCCATGGCCCAGGCCCAGCTGTGGGCGGACACAGTGCTGTACAATCAGTAAGATGCAAATAACTACCTGGCCTGCGCTAAAACTGTTTTCCCCCTTAGGTTTGTGGACTTTCAAATCCCTTTTCTTTTTTTTTTTTTGGCATTGCTACTTGAAGTCTCAGGCCTCCCTGTGGTGAACTGAGTAACATCAGTTTCTCACAACTACTGGGAGAATTCAGGAGGACTACATCAGTTGACTTCTGAGCTCAGTTGTACTGCATGCTACAATCACCAGAAGCTTCACCCCATCCCTAGCACCTCACTCATGCTAAGTATGTACTCTGCCGCGAGACACAAACCCAACTCCAGAAGTTAATCTTGAGCATGCAGAATTCCAGGCTAGGGGTGTATATATATATATAGTTCAGTGTTAAAAGCAGTGTTTGCCTAGCAGTGTTGGCTCCCGAGTTCAATCCCCAGTACCACAAAAATGTTTATATGTATATAAATATATTGCAGTTCCTAGGCCCCACCCCAGATTTAGGAAATCCTCCAGCATTTGGAGGATATCAACATTTGCAGTTGTCATGTGAGTCCCTAAGCGGTTCTAAAACACAGAACATTGAGCAAGAAAGAGCTTGCAATTGGCCATAAGACCACAGGCTCCCGTGACTGCTCACACCAGACCAAGTCCAGCTAAGCTGACAATGGGGACAGAGAAAGAGTTGAGGCTTGAAACCTGTGTGCTGGCTGATCTTCACTGTCAGCTTGGCGGGACTTGGAATGACTGGGAGCACACTCTGGGCATGCCTGTGCTGTGTTTCCAGAGGTTTAACTCTGGAGGAGAGGACCCCCCCCCACAGTGGGGCAGTACCATCCTATGGGTTGGGGTTCTAGACTAAATGAAAAGGGAAATGAAAAAGCCAGCTGGACGCTGGCATTCTCCTCTCTCTGCCCAGATGGGAGCAGGCAGCCCCCCCACCCCATGGGGGAGTGCGCCCTCAAACTCAGAACCAGCGTCCGTCCTTCCTTCAGCTGCTTCTAGCCAGTCATTTGGTCGCATCCCGACTCTAAGAAACACCCAGGCAAGGGCAGGCCCAGACCAAGTCCCTTCCTTTCTTTCCTTACTCATCAAGTGACCTGTTTATGCCAGTTCTGTGTGAAAGAGCTAAGCACAGACTCCCCCATCCCTGGGCACTGACGGAGCACATGCTGTACACCCAGTCCTGTTTACTTCACTGGGCAGAGCAAATGAGACTTGGTCCTTGCCTTGCAATAGGTTCCAGTTTCAGAGAGTCTAGGCAGACAGGAATAAAGTGGCTCTTAGAGCAGGCAGAATGAAGGCAGCACTAAGAACCAGGGACAGAGGACTGTGCCTGAGTGACAGTGCCTGAAGCTCTGGGAAGTCCTCACTGAGGAGGTGGCAGCCTTTGAGGTAGTTCTTTAAGGATGAGCATCAGCTGGCCAGAATGGAGAAGCTAAGGGTTTGGGCAGCACAGGACAGCAGGAGGAGGCAAAAGCTAGAGTAGCTTCGGCAGAGGACACAAACGCGCACAGGGCTGAGGAGACAAGCAAGTCTGGCCAAACGCTGTGGGCCTTGAAAGCCAGCTGTGGCCCAGTGAGGAAAGGGGAGCCGTTGATGTTCATGGACAGGGAAGAAATGGGACAGGTGACTTTAGAGGCTCATCCTGATGGCCAGGAAGGAGGCATGAAGGGCTGATCTTGCACTTACCCAGATCCGCCTCTCAACCTGACAGGGTTTCCATGAGAGGGTCGTGCACCTGACTTTAGGGCAAACCCGACGGCTCCTGGGTGGGATGATGGCTCCAGCTGGGGCCTGCTCCAGCCACAGAAACCCAAGAAGGGAGAGGGAGGGAGATGTCAGATGCCCTTTACACCTTACAAGACTAGGGGATGTTACCAGGCCCCTGTACCAGCTGTGAATGTTCTCGGGAAGGTCAGAGAGGGGGCGCAAGGGGAGTCAGTTACTCAGTGAAAAAGGAGCAATGGCCTCCTTCCGGCTCTCCCACCTCAGTTGCATGCACATGGGGATCCCAGTGTCTTTATCCCACAATTCCAGCCTCGTCTGAAATATAATCCCCAGGGGCCTCTTCCCAGAGTGGGGCATGTGGAGGCACAAAGCACAGGTCACTCCTGCATAGGCTTGGGGACACAGAGGCCCACAGACACAGATGTGAACAGACAGACACAAATACAAACACAAGCACCAGCTCTAGTAAGCCAGAGCCCAGGGGATGTGTATCTGGGGAGCATGGAGGGCCAGGCAGAGGGAGGGGTCAGTAAGGCAGGCAGGTGGACAGGTACGGAGGAAGCATGGAGGGCCAGGCAGAGGTGAGGGGTCAGTAGAGCAGGCAGAGAGGGAGCAACACAGCTTCATAGAGTCACAGTGCAGAACGGTCAGCCCTCACCTCCTTCCTCCTGCTATCCTCAATGCCACTGACTCAGGGAACTTTGGAGCTTAGAGAATGGTTAGAATGACCTGGTTCCCTTGCCCTGATGATTCTTATTCCTCCCTCTAGCTTCCTGCAACCACCTTCCACCTGAAAACCCAAGTCTTCTCCCAGTACCTGACCACAGCCCTCCCTGCTAATGCCCTCAACTGCTGATATCCTCAGAAAAAGTCTATTCCTCCAACTAGACTTTGAGACCCTTCTTGACCCGGCCCTGGTACCTCAGAAGTCACCTCTTCAGTGCCACTCCCTCCATGGTAAACCTTGCAACCAGGGCAGACTCCAGCCCTTGGATGCACACATTTGCAAGCATGTCCGCTTACGCATTTCTCTTCCCTACCTCTGCTCACCTAGCTCCTGCCAATGGCAGCTTCCTCCACTAGCCAAGTCTCCGCTGAAGACTGTGAGACCGAAGGAGCCACCTCCACTCTTTAGGCCTCAGCTTCGCCACCAACTACCATAACATAACCATGACATAACCATGCCAGGTGCCCAGCAGAGCGCCTGGCTCTCAGCAGGCGGATATACCCAGGAGGTTCCTAACTGCCTTCCCTGCTACCTCCCAGTCGACACTCTCCGTGAGAGAGGTCCCGGCTGTGCCACAGGCAGAAGCAACAAGTGTCAACGCTGGAGTCAGGCAGCGGCTGGGGGCCCATGTTGGACCTCGGGCAACTCTTCCAACCCACTCCTACCCTAGTCTGTAAGCACTCTCACCTGCACTTCCTAGATGCCTGCGCTCCTCAGCTTGTCAGCCAGCTCCACACCTGCAGCCTGTTGCCATGAGACCCACCCAACCTCCTAGATGGTCCCTGGGTTACCCCCTACTGTTCACTCCCTTCCCACCAGCCCGCTGGCCTTTCTGTGCTTGTTTTTGAGACAGGGTCTGGCTCTATGGCCCAGGCTGACCCTAAGCTGGTAGCAGCCCTGTACCAGCCTCCCAAGTGCTGGGATGATGAGCACACACGGCCACATTAGCTACAGGGTGGCCTTTTGAAAATAGAAGTCCGGTAGCCAGGTGGGGGTGCCTGCCTTTAATTCCAGCATGGGAGGCAGAGGCAGAGGCAGGAGAATCTGTGAGCTGGAGGCCAGTCTGGCATACAGAGTGAGTTCCAGGATAGGTAGGGCTACACGGAGAAACCAAAACAAAATAAGTCTGGGACGCAGAAATGGCTCAGTAAAATGCTTGCCTTGCAAGCACAAGAACCCGATTTCCATCCCCAGGACCCAGGTAAGGAGCAGGCATGGCATCATGTGCCTAATCCCAGAGCTATGATGGCAAACGCAGGAGGATCCCTGGGGCTTGTTGGACAGCCAGCCTAGCTGAACTGCTGAGCCCCAGGTCCCAGGCAGTCTAGCTGAGCTGGTCCCAGTGAGCAGCATTGTCACCAGAATAAGGTGAACGGCTGTTGAGGACAACGCCCAGGGTTGACCTCCGGCCTCCACACACCTGCACGCACACCCGCAAATACACACTCACACCACAAAAATCAATACAAAGACTGTATAAGACAGATCTGATCTGATCAGTCTATTCTTTCCTTTTGCTTAAAAACTGTCAAGGCCTTACAGGCGCTCTTAGCTCTAAGGATCCTTAGAGCAAGACATGGAAGTTTGTGCCTGTAGTTCTAGCACTTGGAAAGCCTAGGGAAGAGGATCACTGCAAATTTGAGGCCAGTCTGGGCTACAGGATGAATTCAAGGCCAGCCTGGGATTCAAAGTGATACTCAAAATAAAAAAGTAAAATAACCAATATTCTTAGCACAAGGCCCAGGCCTGAACTCCCAGCTTCCCCCATCAACCCTCACCCCATTCCCTGACGCCTTAACTCCTTTCAGCCTTTACACCTACTGGTCCCTCTTACTCAAAAAGCTGTTTCCGTCAGGTCTCAGGCTAAGCCTCAAGTGAGCTCACACCTGGATTGGACCGCCAGAAAGGGTGACACACTGCATGCCTTTGCCAGAGCAGTGACTGAAATCAAAGTGGAATACTGAATTAGTTGTTTTATGTCTGCCTCTTCTAGGCTGAGTGCAGGAGGGCAGAGCCTGCAGCCCTTGTTCACTTCCACTTCCAATCCCCTGGCCCCTGGCCCACAGTAACAACCTGACAGTATCTGTTGTGTGGATGAACAAGCCTCAGTCTTGCCACCTGCAGAGCGGGAATGATAACCCCAGCCTCACAGGACTGTTCTGAGTGGCATCATGTCGGCCACACGCATCCTTCTTTTTTAGCTCCCACACAACCCTCCTGTGAGGCTTCATGGAGGCTTCTCTCCCTACTCCTGGGAACACCTGCTGATCCTCCCTTCTCCACAGGGGACTCCGGGAGGCTGAGTCTACATGAACCTTTCCACTCTAGACTGAACTAATAGGCAGAGACCGAGTCTGAGTCACCCATGATTCCATGGCACGTGGGGCAGGGGGGAGAGGAGAGCATTGGGGGCTCACCGGGGTGGAATTCGCCTCCAACAGTGCTGTCTTCCATGCTCTGCAAAGCAAGACCCACACATCATGAGGGAAGATTTGGAGAGTGGCAGATGGGGGTCCCACCTTACAGATGCCCCTCCCCTGCCCAGGCCCTAGTCCCACCTCTCCCAACTCTCAGGTAGACAAGGGCAACTCTCTACTGCCCTAGCCGCACGAAGGGCCCTGAGGTAAGCTAGTCACTCCCAGTCCAGCCTCTTCCCCTCAGCTATCCCAATTGAGTTTGGGATCGTGGTGTCTATCAGGGGCCTTCTGAGCCTTGCATATCTGGGTGATGCTCTGCCTGCAGCCCACTGCCACGTTCCAACTTGTACGGCTTCCCAAAGCCATGACCCGAGCCTCAGGAATGCCCAATGGATACAGGACAATTGGGCCTTTGTTAGTTGCCATGGCTTCTGGCTGGGGTAGACAAGGCAGCTCTATGCTGTCTGCCCAGAGCTTGGCTGCCCCCACACCCACACACCCATCTCTTTCCTTCTCCTCTAGGGAGGAGGCCCAGCTGCTCAGGCTGAGGGCAGGAAGGGAGAGAATATAAGGGAATAGATGGCACTGAGGGGGATGCCCTCATCTTCCCAGGATGGGCTGCATCTGATCCTGGGTGCCCTGCTTGGGCACTGCCAACTAGTTGCTTTCTGGCGGCAGCTGTAGGCCTACCCCTCAGTTCAGAGTCCCACCCACCAGGGCATCTCTTTTAAGATGGCACTGGGTGTGCCTTGCCCTTTCCATCACCCTGGGTGAGGGACTTCACGGGCTGCGAAATATCGGATCCTAAATGTCCAGGGACCCGAGGCAGGGGCGCCTCCATCCCGAGTCCTCTGGGTTTTCACCAGTTACCAGTGGTTGCACTGTCGTCCCTCTCCTCAGCCTGTATGACATGACTTGCTAACTGGTGTTAATCCCCCCCTTGTAGTTGCACCCCAGGGTCCCACTCCACACAGCTCCTGAATCTACTTACATGGCATCATCCCGGGTCTCCGCACACAGGTGCAGGCGGGAACCCTCCCGTAGGTTCACTGTCAGCAGGCCATCTCGGCTCCTGCCCTCTGGGGGCTGCACATCTGGAAGTGGACACGAATACATGAGCCCCACCCCAGGAAACCACACACAACGGCAGGGGCTGCCTCCCTGTTGTCTTGTTTTCTGGCCACTGCCAACCTCTGATCCCACAGACTTTCTGGGGGCTGCTGTCCCCTTCAGACCCTTTCGACCTTTCCACATTGTGACTTTCTAGCACATCTCTCAGTTACTATATTACGCTGTGGCCTCAGTCTTGGTTGAAGCACTAGATCTGCCGTGTGCCTCTAGGCCTGTCACACGGCTTCCCCGGGCGTAGTCCGTCTTCATCCACTCTCGAGTGCCTGCAAGCGTTTTATCTGGACTCCCCCATGGAACACAGCACAGCGTAGGACCCCAACCGAGGACCAGCTTCTTAACTCAGAGCGAACTGACCTGTATTTGGCAATGGCCCAGAAGCAGTTGTTTATGGGAGCTTTCTGAAGGCAACCCAGAGCCTTCCGGGTACAGTTCTCAGACTCAGGGAAGACACTGACCACGGGCAGCGTTCCATCAAAGAAGCGTTTCTGCTCACCCTGACACTCTTGGCCGACCTTTATGTCCCGGACGTTGAAATGGATAAGCACACGGTCCTCCTCGTCCTGTGCCGTCTCATCACGGTAGTAGCCGAGTGTGCCGTCCAACCAGAGAGCGAACCAATTCCGCTTCCAGCGGCGGAGGATGGAGCCTGCACGATATCCCGACCCACCAGGGGAGCTGAATCCTGAGCCTGCCAGGGGCAAGAGCCCCAGATGGGGCCGCAGAATCCCCTCAGGTCTCCTCCCGATTACTGTCACCTCTTTCTGTCTATCTACTCTCCAAAATGAGGACACGGCCTGGCCTCTTTTTTTATATTTCACTTGCCTGGCACACAGCAGAGGCTCACTAAAAGTGCTGAACTGTGAACAGCCACTTACACCAGCTCCGGGGACTTCCAAGACAAGCCCAAGTCTTTCCAAAGAGAAAGACCTCTCCCCACCCAGAGCCTCTATCTGGTTTGAGTGACAGTCATCTGTATCTTCTCTAGCTCTTCCAGAGGATTAGGGATCTGGACCTCCCCACATGAGGTCCCAAAACCCAGCAAGACCTATATTTGGTATCTGTCAAACCAAATGAACTGAGAATGGACAAGAGCAAGGGAGAAGGGGGATCCTAGCCCAAAGATGTCTCCAGGACATCTCCTTCAGTTGGTAGCCCTGGATAGATGATGTTCGGGTGGGGGCGGCTGTGGCCCCTGTGGTTCAAAACAGAAGGGGTTTTTAAACCAAGGTGTGGAGGCTCACACCTGCAGTTTCAGCACTCAGAGGATGAAGGGACTTCAAGGCCAGTCTGGACTACAGAGCAAGACCTGTCTCAGAGAAAACAAAGAAAGCGAGCTAGGCATGGTGGCACATGCCTGTTACCCCAGCGTTCATGTGGTGGAGGAGGGGTACACAATCATCTTTGGCCACACAGTGAGTTTGAGTCCAACTAGGGCTACATGAAACTTTGTATTCTCCCCAATGCATTATAAAGCCCCCCCCCCAAAAAAAAAAAATAAAGAGGTTTTCTTGGGGCTATGGGTCTAGAGCAGAGACGAATCTCACCTTGCTTGGGCATTGGTCTGGGTCCTGCCTGTTTTGCAGTGCTATGAATGCACAGAGCATCAAACTTATCTGTAGCCTGGGGAATGTGCAGTTTAGAGTCTAGGGCCAGTATGGGATGGGGAAGGGAGGCGGGAAGACTGGGAGGGGAAGACAGTTGTTTTGTAAGTTAGTGTGGGAACTGAGAAGGAGCCTGTGACCCAGCCTGGTGCTATTGTGGCAGAGGGGGTTAGAGGAACAGCCAGAAAGGGCTCATCAAAGGGGGAAATCTGGTTGGTCCTGAAGAGCACAGCTTTGCTAAACAGTCAGAAATGAGAAGACCATGAATAAAGAGGAGGCTGGAAGGTCCTCATGTGGGGAGAAAGCTTCACCATGATGTGTAGGACGCGCCATTTCCCTCCTCCCAGCCCAGGGATCAGGTGAAAGGCAGACAAGGACTTGACCCAGAATCACTCACTCTGTCTCCATAGCCAGCCGCCCCTCACCAGGGCCATTTCTTCAAAAGGACTTTCCAGGGTGGAGTCGGGTGGGACCTGTCAGAGGAGCCACAATTCAGTGTGGCTCCTGAGAGAAAAGCCCCCCGCCCTGCCCTCCCCAGAGGGCCTGGAACCATGCAAGACTGCGTTAGTAAACAAACAGGCCAGGCACCCTCCTCCCCTCCCTCCTACCACTCTGCCCTGTAGAGAATGGGCACACTGTCCCAGTGGGGTCAGCAGGCAGCCACCCAATAGGACAGGGTGGGGGCGGGGATGAGAGCCCAGGCCAGGCTGAGTTCCAGAACCTTAGCGAGTCTCTGGCTCCATGCTCCTCTGGCCCGTATGAGGCAGGTAAGAGGCTGGAGTGAGGAATTCTTAGAGCTCATAAAATGTTAGGAAATGGGATTTGGAAATGGGAGCGGTACAGGGTATCAGTCAATGAATTTCTCATATTCAGACCCCACGGGGCCATCTTTTGAGTACAGATAAGAGCCATGGAGCTTGGTACACATCTCTGCCTTCACCCATTATCTCATTTCAGCTTCCCAATCATCCTTGCCAGCATTCCTATTTTAGAGACAGGGAAACTGGGGCCTGAAGAGGTCCAAACTACACAAACCCCCTTGATACGAAGCAATGGAGCCAGGATCCACGCCCGACCACCTCAGCTCCTCTCCAAGACCTTTAAAAAGACCCAATGCCATCTGGGTGTAGTGGTATAACGTTTAACCCCAGCACTCAGGAGGCAGAGGCAGGCAGAGCTCTGGGAACTGGAAGCTAGCCTGGTCGACATAGTAAGTTGCAGGCCTACACAGTGAGACTGTCTCAAAAGACCAAAACCAGGCCTGGCGGTGATGCCCTGTGACTTTAATCCCAGTACTCTGGAGGTAGATTTCCCAGTTCAAGATCGGCCTGGTCTACAGAGTGAGTTCCAGTACAGCCAGGGTCACACAGAGAAACCCTGTCTCCAAAAACAAAACAAAACAGAACAAAACAAAACCAACCAAAACCAAACAAACAAACAAACAAAACCAAACAACAACAAAAACACACCACTCAGTGTGCAGGATCAAGCCAGCCCCGAATCGAATCGTAACTGTGGAGGTAGAGGCAAGCCACCACCTTAAAGACCCCCAGGTGATGCCAAAGTTTGCCAGCCACTGTGACCTCTCTGGTTCCCAGACAGAGAGCACCGTATAGGAGGTTGAACTGGAGGGAAGGGGTCAAATGTCGCTTCCCTCCCTGTATGTGATGGAGCTTGGACTGGAGTCCAGGTGCCTTCTCTTACTAAGGACGATTTATTTATGCGCAGGTCTCTGCCAGATGCCTCGGGCCCTTCCCCCACCTGCTCACACCTGTTGCTGCGCAACTAGGGCTGGCACACTCAGGGTGGAAGCCTGGGCCTCTTGTGTTTCTCCTCAGGGGCCCTGTCCAAGCTCTGACACTGATCTTACAAGAGGGTCGGGTGCACACTCCCTCTCAGGTTCCCCTTGCTGCACCCACCTGTTCACACCTGTTGCGGAAGCGGCTGCCACAAATACCCGCTACTCGCTACTCGATGAAGCTGTTAGCTCAGCAAGTCGCACCTGCGCTGTGGTACCCCAGAGAGCCTGAGGCATTCACTCCCCAGGCTGTGCCTAGGGCACAGATGCCCCCAGGCCCCGCCCTCCAGACCCAACTCACTCCCAGGGCGGGGCCATGGCGTGGAGAAATTCAAGGACTGAGGCATGCTGGGATTTGTAGTCCGCAGTCCTACACTGGGCAGAAACAGCCCGCAATGGCATCCTGTGCTGACCCCAGAAGGAGTAAGAGGCTACACACGGAATTTCATGTTCTTCTTTCCTCCTTAGGATCTGCCTGTATTTCCACAGCTCCCTCAAATGATCTGCCAGAGCAGCTGGGACGATACCCAACTTATTTTTCTGTTGAGACATTTATTTGTTCGCCTAGTTTTCCCCTTTTGGTACTAGAGATGTATTCCAGGACTGACTGGCTAAATACTGATCGACACTCCATCCTTAACATAAAGACTTTCTCTTAAGATCGTGTGGCCAGAGGGTTGAGGAGAGACCTCAGTCAATAAAGCGCTTGCACAAGACGCTAAGTTCAGATCCCCAGAGGCTGATATGCATCCTGGGGAGGAAGAGACAGGTGGATCCCTGGGGCTCACTGGCCTTCCAGCCTCATCTGAATCCTAAACCACCAAGGTGGATGGCTCCTGAGGAAGGGCCTGTGGCCTCCACATGCACACACATACTCACACACCACCACACACACACACATATAAAAGTAATAATAATAATAATAATAATAATAATAATAAAACAATGAGAGAGAGACAAGAAAATGTGTAGCTTGAAGCCTGGCTTGTAATCCTCAAAGGCTGGAGGCAGGAGGATTATCAAAGATCAAGGCCAGTCTGGTCTAAGAGAGAGTGCCCAGACTGCATAATGAGACCTGTCTCAAAAAAAGAAAAAAAAAGAATGTACAGCTTGAGACCTCATTCTGAGAAGAAAGTCAGAAAGAGAGAGAGAGAGAATGAAAGGTCATTCTCCAAAAGGCTGTAGTCATGTATAGATGATTGCTGGACAAACTTCCCCAATGATGCCCAAGGACAAGACATTAAGTTCGGCAGAAGCTGGGCCTGGTTGTACAGATCAATAATCTCCGATACCTGGCAGGGTGAGAGGCAGGAGGTTCAAAGCCTGTGATACAGAATAAGTTCAAGGCCAGTCTGGGCAACTTAGACCCCATCGAAAAATTTAAGAAAGAGAGAGAGAGGGAGGGAGGGAGGGAGGGAGGGAGGGAGGGAGGAAGGGATGGAGGAAAGGAGAAAGAAGAGGAGGAGACTGGAGATTTGGCTCGGTGGTAGAGGGCTTACCGAGCATGGTTAGACTCTCAGTTCCATCTCCAGTCCTGAAGCGAAAACAAAACCAAGGCTGATTTCCATTGAACAAGGTGGCTTGTACGCACAGCTGCTCTGGAGTCTCAGTCTAGAGCAGCGGTTCTCAACCTTCCTAGACGCTTCCTCGGGTTGTGGTGACCCCCAAACATAAAATTATTTCATTGCCGCTTCACAGCTGTATTTTTGCTACTGCTGTGAATGGTAGAGTAAATATCTGATATGCAGATGTGAGGCTCCAAAAGGGGTCGCGACCCACAGGTTGAGAATTGCTGGTCTAGAGGATGCCTCAAGGCCCGGAGAGCCCAAAAGTTCAAGGCCAGCCTGGACTATATAGCAAGATTTCTAATAAGAAGAAGAAAAAAAAGAAAGAAAAAGAAAGGAAGGAAGGAAGGAAGGAAGGAAGGAAGGAAGGAAGGAAGGAAGGAAGAGAAAAGGTTTTCTGGCCCATCAAGATGGTACATCAGGAGAAGATTCCTGCCACCAAACCTGATGACCTGAGTTCTGTCCCCAGGGCCTACAAAGTGGAAGGAGAGAACCACTTCCCAAAAGTCTGTGTCTCACCTCCACAGGTGCAGTGTTACACTTGTGCACACTCATGCACACACAGAGGTAAATGTAATCTTAATTTTTAAAAGTTTGTTGTTCAGGGGGCTGGAGAAATGGCGAAGCAGTTAAGAGCACTGGCTGCTCATCCAGAGGTACTAAGTTCAATTCCCAGCAGCCACATGGTGGCTCACAGCCATCTATAGTGGGATCTGATTCTCTCTTCTGTTGTTCGTGAAGACGCTCATATACATAAAAATAAGTAAGTAAATAATAAATAAATAAATAAATAAATAAATAAATAAATAAATAAATGGTGGGGCGATAATAGTGCATGCCTTTAACCCCAGCACCAGCAGAGGCAGGTGAACCTCTGAGTTCAAGGCCAGCCTACAGAGTTCCAGGACAGCCAGCCAGGGCTACAAGAGAAACTGTCTTGAAATATAAACAAAAGTTTGTTATTCAAACCATAGAGAGGCCACATCCACAGCCCTCAGAGACATTGCGGAAGCCACTCTATTCAGCAGCTTTGTGCTTCCCAAGCTGTATGTGGAGCTCTACCCTTTCTGAAAGAGAACAGTGTTGTTGACAAGCTGGAAAGGAAATACCATCCTGAACCCCAGAGGACTAAACATCCGTGCACCCTCCAAAGCCACTCCCCTGTAAAGAGCCCAAGCCCTTCACAAGTTGAAGAAAACGATACCCTTTGTAAGCAGAATTAAGTGGAATTTATACTCGAATTGATAAAAGACCCAGTGTGGTAGCCCGTACTTGGAGAGCTGCCACAGCAGGACTGGGAATTGAAGGTTAGCCTTGACCACGGAGTAAAGCCAGCCTGGGCTACAATTTAGACTTTTCACCACCCTCTCACACTCAAATCTTCAAACGGAATAGCAAAGCAGAGTGTGGCTTAAGCAGCAGGAAGTCGCCCTTTGCCCAAGAGGTTCAGAAAGGCTTCCCAGAGGAAGCTAAGGGGTCTTAATGTGGGAGCAACATTTCCCAGTCCGGACTGAGCCCCTCACACAAGTGCTGGCAGAAAGTTCAGGGTCTTCAAGAGGTTTAGAAGGCGAGTGAGGGTTAGGGGAGAAGCCGTGGGCTGGCAGGTGACAAAGCCGCAGAGGGTGCCAGCATATAACAAAGGGCTGGATTGGCAGCCTGGACCTTGTGGTATGGTGACTGCGTGGGTGAAATATTGACAAGACAGGAGGCTAGGCCGTAATGATGAGTGGGTCAGAAGATCCTGTCTCCTGGATCTGACCTTCCTCTGTCACTGCTTTGACTAGCTCAGTCCAGATTCCCACCTGTGCAGGAGCAGACAGAGAAACCCGGAGACCAGAGCATCTTCTATTTGGTTAGAGCCACCCCACCCCCACCACCAACTTCCCCCTGACCCAGAGAGCTCCTCACCGGAGTTGCAGGGCTCATGGTTCCTGCTGATCAGAGCAGCATTCCCAAGAAGGTTCCGGAAGTGGGGCCTGGGTTGGCAGCCTCCGAGATGAGGCGATCAGGAAAGAGCTACCGAGGAGGAAGGGAAAGGCAGGGAGGGGCCACCGGGCCTAGGGAAAGGCGCCCTCTTTTCCAGGCCCCTCTCCAGCTTTCCTGACTCGGATATCTGCCCTTCAGTTTCTGACCAAGTCACCTGGTGATTCGAGGTGATGTTGACCCAAGTCTTCAAGATAGGGTAGGGAGGAGAGTAGGGTAGAGCGGACGGGAGATGGAGGGAGGGCGGGGTTAAGTCTTCATCTTGCCGCCCAGCAGGCTGTGTCTATCACTCCAGGCGTGCACCCTGGCTCCTTAAGCCTTCCTTCTTGGCCCCCGGTCTCTTTAATCTTGACCCTGGGACACCCCAGGCTTCAGCCCTTCGTGCTGTGCGTACTTCCCTGGGGGATTTACCACACAGATCCTGTTAGCCAGTGGCTTATCCCTTCTTAGCAGCCCCAGCAAACGCACCTTCCAAACCACGCTGGTTTTCAGCTTTTGCCTTCAACTCATTCTCTGGTGTCTGGAGAGTCCCAATCCTACTCAACTCTGACTAACTTTTCTGTTCCCTATGGCTGGGATGGGAGGAAGGAGGAAAAGAGAGAGATGGAAGAAAAAACGGAGGGAAAGAGGAAAGAGTGGAAAGAAACGGGGAGTAAGGGAGACAGGGAGTTATCTCTCCCTGGGATCCTTGGCAGGTTAAACTGCTAAAATATGCTATAATCTCTGTTAGTGTTTATAGTGAGCAGTTACGTTCTCACTTAGGTATTCCTGATGTCCACTTTCCTGCACATAAGCAAAAGGTTTGGGGGTAGGGTGATCTGACTCCCTCATTAGCAGCTCTGAAGACTCTCCCTTGCTCCGGCTACTTTGAACAAAAAAAGAAAAGAAGAAAGGAAGAAAAGAATAAAGAAAAAAAGAACAGAGCCGTGAGTCAAGCAGCCAGGGGACGAGCTTTCCGCCTCCGCAGGCTGGTCTCCACAGTGGGCTTGAAAAGAGTGCGCAGGATAACAGCTGATGACGCCAGCTCCCGAAAGCGGCTTCAGCCAGGGCCGCTTCCAGCGGTTTGGATTACCAGGCTCGGTGAACTCTAGATGAACCGGCTCCGACCGTCTGTCGGAAACACGCCCCCTGGTGGCCTACAGAGGGACTGCTGTAACTGCTCCTCAGAAGCAAAGCTGCGATTGTTCCTAAAGCAAACCTCGGTGGCTCTAACTGGTATTAAAGGGGCCAGGCAGAGACCGGTCCAATCACGAGGTCTCTGGCTGTGTGAGTGAGTTGCTCAGGCTCACTTAGTCTCCCAAAGGCACCTTCCTTCTCTGGTGTTGCTCATTGGGCCTAATAGAAAGCTTCTCCTAAGTGGCAATTTCTTAGCTACTGTTAGCTGGTAACATGCGGGAAGAAACAGCAGCAGCAGGGTGGCACTGACAGCCAGGCCACGAAAGCTGCTTGACAGCTGAGGAAAAGCAGCCGAGCAGTTAGAGAGTGGCCAGGTCAGGAAGAAGCGTGACAGAAGCAGAGCGCTGGTAAGAGAGCCGGGCAAGAACTGTGAAAGACTCTGGTCAGAGAGGAGTTCCAGGGAGCTGTTAAGTCTTTAGGAACAAGGATCTCAGACGCCTCAGGTGTCTCACAAAAGCTGTAACGCCTTCAGGGGTAGGTGTCCCAATTCCAGACATCCAGGACTGTGACTCTGTACCACCTGCTGCTGCTCCCACCGACCTACACCCCGGCACTCA